TGATTTTTAAGGTATCACGATAATTTTAGAAAATCAATTTTCTAATTTACCAAACATGATCGGAGAGGTGGTTTTGGCCATTTCCGAGACACACGCTAGTATAATTAAATTACTTTAACCTCATTTATTCTCAAATAATCTTTACTAAAAGAAGGCAGATTGGGGTTCGCCTATTTCAGTTGCCTCCTTCCACACCCATTAACATTCCCACATAGATGGGATGATTTATTAAAAAAATGTTTGAATTATGATATTTTTGTGTATATATGTATTTGAAGTTTCATCATTATGTCAAGCGGAGTCTAGCTTCAATGGTTTAAGGTATAACTTACTTGAGACGCAAGTATATTAAAAGGCGTCCTCTCACGAGATGAACAAATACGTGAAAACTCATTAATCGACGTAATGTATACACACTTAGTCTCTTAAAACATACTATATTATTAATATAATTCACCGTAAGTGATACCTACTTCTTTCTTCAAAGTTCAAATATCCGTACTTATGCGCAAAAAACAACTTACCATATTAATTAATCTCAAAAAAATCAATCATGTCGGAAGAAACCGATTATGTAAAAAATCCTTGTTGCATGTGCACTAAAATATGCCTAGTAATTAGTCCATCTAAATGCACATCTATGTGCTTCCAAAATTTAATAAGGAAATTAAAAACATAAATAATCACAAAATGCAATAACTATTTTCAAGAAAATAAACGTTTCAAAATTTGAAGTAAAATAGAAAAAGAAATAATAAAGAGCAAGGAAATGAAGAGCAGTGTAAGATTTCTTTTTTCTTTTTTGTAAAAATTGTATAATATCTCATATATTAAAAGAATAAGTTTCAAAATCCGATAGAATGGAACTAATTTGCAATGAAATAGATTTGTAAGTACTTTGAAATCAAACGAAATCAAAACGAAATCAATTCTATCCTTAAAAAAAATCTGACTGAAAAAACAGAATCCAAAAACTATGTTTTTTTTTTCCTTTTTTAGGCAAACAACAAATATGTAGTGTATTTGAATATGAAATCTGAGATTATGAATTACGATTCAATGGAAATTTTTTTAAAAAACATATATTATAAATTAGATATATAAACAATGTGAAAGCTGATAGGAAACAAATATCTGCAAAATTAATAAGTTTATTGTTGAAGCATGAATCTGTTCTGTGGACTGCACAGGAATCAGCCAAAAATGGGGAACAAGAACACCACCTTCCCCTCCCCCACAATCGATGCAGAATTTCCTTTGGGTATAAACTTAATTTGTTCTTCTACTTTATTTATTAATTAATCAATAAGTTTGTCAATAATTCATATAATTATGGGTATTAATTAATTTTGCAGTAGTAAGGTCCACGAGAGATGAAAAACCACTCCATTATACCTTAAAAATCCAATCTTTTTCTTTGCTGAAGGAAGCAATTGCTTGCTCCAAGCGTGACAGATTTGAATCCCAAATCTTCCATGCCAATGGTTATAAATGGTGGGAGGATCATATTATTACATTATATTATTATAAACTCCATTATTCATCTTCATATTGGTTTTTGTTTGTTTGTGATGTGGTAGGAAATTAGCCCTGTATCCCTCTGGAAATGTGGAAATAAATGGGTCATCGGATCATATTTCCCTCTATTTGGTATTGGCTGAGGATGACATTTTGCCAATTTCATCACCAGCTTCAGAAGAAGTCAGTGCTGTGTTTACTTTTCTTATTCATGATAATCTTAGGGACAAATATTTGGCGATTCAAGGTAAACCATGCGCACTAATTTCTTCGATGATCATGTTAAATTACTACTGACTCGAAACTTACTTTCGATGCAGATGGGAAATTTAGACGCTTTCATTCCATGAAAACAGAGTGGGGGTTTGAGAAGTTGATTCCACTTGAATATTTCAATGATGCCTCCAATGGGTTGTTGGTTGGTGATTGTTGTGCCTTTGGAGTGGACATTTTTGTAAAGAAATGTGATGGTGGGAAGGGGGAGGACTTTTCCATAACCAAGCAACCAAAAGACAACAAATATACCTGGAAAATCAACAACTTTCCACAAATACCTGATGAGAATTTTTATCAGTCTGATCCTTTTACAATTAACAACTACAATTGGTATGGCAAAATTTGACTCCACGATATATATAATCATAAGTATTTTCATAAAGTTATATGTACATCTACGTATATATAATTTGTTGAGACATTAACTTAAGTTTGAGTAGTGGTTACCTAATTTAATGTTTTTCAGGAGGATGTGCTTGTATCCAAAACGAGACGGCCCTTTATCTTTGTATATGATCTTTGATAGTTCCAAAGAGATTCCTCAAGGCTCTGAAGTGTATGTTAAATGTGAGATCTCTATATTGTGTAAACCTAGAGATGGTGGCCTTCGTTACAAACGAAACAAAACATGTAGGGCTCGTTTGGTAACGTTTTTGTTTATTGTATTCATTGTTTCCATCTCTTCGTTTTTTATAAAAAAAAATGAATTTACCTTCAAGCAGTTGTCCTAGTAGTTGGCCCAGACACTGAATATAATATTAGAAATTGGAAACGAGTGTGAGTTAGTAACTCAATTAAAACATTTTTCAAAGCACTTATTAAAGAGGGTTTTTTTTTTCACAGATAATTATTGGTTTGGTGGTGAAGGAAAAACTAGATATGGTAGTTTGGATTTCATGCCATGGAGGGATCTCAAGGCTCTAAAGGACAGACGTCTTTACAGTGATACCGTGACGGTTGAAGTGAAAATTAATGTCATCTCTACCTTCAAACATTTTGTACAGAAAGGAAATTAATGCTGCTGCTAGATCATAATGAGAGTCTTAATTAAATTTATAAATAATCTACTTATTCTAGTTTTGGAGGAATGAGTTGCTATCTAGTCTTTTTTCCTTTTTATTATTCGACACTTTGATTGTTGAAGTGACGATTAGTGTTGTCTCTGGCATGAAAATTTAAGGAATAATGCTGGTCTTTGAGATCATTAATGGTGGTGTTTTTAGATATTGCAGAATTTTGAAGTTTTCAACTATATATTCTGATCATGTCTTGGATCAATGCAACCTTATTTGGTGTGTTTAATCTTATATATTTGAAATGTGGTTCAGATTTGGTAGTTTTTGTAGGATAGGAGATCTCAGAGAAATTAAAGTCAAGTACAGGAATTTGACAACATTTTTTCAGTTTTTTTTTCCCTCTTGGTTATGGGAATTTTACTTTTCTACAGCGTTCATGTATCTTTTGGGAGTAAAACATATTCGATATTTAACACCTCTACTCTAAACCGAGTGTAAATTGAAACCTCTATCTAATGCCAGCATAGTTCAGTGAAATTTCTAGTCAACATGAGCACAAATCACTGCCCTACGTTATTTTGTACTAAAAAAATTCAAACCTCTAATATTTTTTTTGTATTTTTTGTCGTATAGGATATAAATCTTTAATTTTAGTTTAGATTGGCCACTTAAAAAATACTAAATTACAAAAATATCTCTAGACTTTATTATTTGGTTAAAAAATACCTTATCATTTCAAGAATTTCAATACACTTTTTTTTTTGATAAAAATTTCAAAACACATTTCATAACATTTCAAAAATACCATTTTATAAAAAAATCTAAAAATTGACGTGGCAAAATCTAGAATAATTTCTTAGACAATGGATAAGATGGCTAAATCATGATGTTAATTGCCCTGTCACGATATTTTTGTAACTTTTTATGATCAAAGTTTTAAATGTCATGGAAATGTCGAGGTCTCAAAATATCGATGTAAAAATCAACAAAATGTCGATGTCAATAGATATTTCATTGAGGTTAGAGAAATTAGAAAAATCGTAAAAAGTATTTAAATTAACAAATAAATATTTTCTTATTTCTAAATAAGTTAAAAGTAATTAATATTAATATTATTTATATATTAATGACATTTTGTTGATATTTTTTCATTTTTGTCGATTTTTTTATTGGGATAGAAATATCGATCTATCTCTCATGTCCATGTCGAACACATGAAAACATGTCATAATGTTGTTTACGGTAAATTCAGGGTTATATATATCTTTCTTTTGTTTGTGGCTTCATTTTTTCTCTTATTTAAAATCCCGAGTAGACAAATAAGACGCGCGATTTTTCGTTCGTCCCCCTGTGTTTGTGTGGTGCCTTTGGAGAAGAAGAAATGGGAGCAAAGAGAGGCCGAAATGGGAGACGGAAGGAAGGCTCCATGATCCTCCCCTCCCCCACAGCCAACCATCATTCGGATTCTCCTTCCGGTTTAATCTTCTCTCTTTCTCCCTCTGGAAGTTTCAGTTTAAGCATTAGAATCCATATAAACTGTTCTTATTATCAAGTTTGTCGAGTTCATAATGGATTTCTAGGGTTACTTTTCAATATTTTGCAGTTTTAAAGTCCACCAGAGATGAAAAACCACTCCGTTATACCTTACAAATCCAATCCTTTTCGTTGCTGAAGAGCACACTTGCTAGATTCCAGCGTCAAAGATACGAAACCCAGACCTTTCATGCTGGCCGTTATAAATGGTAGGTTATATTATAATTGTAAAATTACAAACTTAGTCCTTTCTGTTTTGGGTCGATTTTCATTTTAGTTCCTCTGGTTTAAAAGTTTATGATTTAGTCCTTATATATGTTATCGCCATATTTTGGTCAACTCTTATGAATGGTTCCTGCCTTACTGTATAGAATGTGTAACATGTTTTCTATTTACGTGGTAATGGGCTTGTGTTTTTTAATTTAGTTAAAAAATAAAGGAAGCTAGTGGATTTTTGGGTAGCTAAAAAACAGTTTAGGGATGATTAGTCAGGTTTCTTAGAATCATAAGGACTAAATTTTTTATTGCATGCACATGTTGAATCATATTTGGTTCTACTACTACTGTTATTATTATTTGTTATTGGGGACATTTGGTTTGTTATGGTAGGAAATTAGCTCTCTATCCTAATGGAAATGAGAAAAGAAACGGCTCCGGTCACATCTCCCTCTATTTGGTGATGGCTGGTAATGACATTTTATCAACTGTTTCAGGAGTTAATGTTGTGTTTACCCTACTTGTGTATGACAAGCTGAGAGACAAATATTTAACGGTCCAAGGTAACTAAAATCTTGGTTCGTTTTCCATGATTTGGTATTTCTTTTGGGAATGATGAAAATTGCTTTTACTTTATAAAAAGTAGTAAAATCTTCATGGTGTTTGGTTACATAGCATAGTTAGAAGTAATTTTGAACAATCTAGTTTTAGAAGAAGTATCTGCAAATCCAAAAGTGTTCTATTGCTTTCAGAACTCGTTCCAAACTGACTTTTTTTGTTTTTTTTTTTTTTGTGTGTGTGCAGGTAAAGGTTGGGTCGTCGGCGGTGAAGAAAACAGTTCTGGTATTTCGAATATCGTCATGTCATTGAGCGATCTCAAGAATCCAACGAAGGGCTTTATTAGCAATGATACTCTGATAGTTGAAGTGAAAATGAATGCTATCTCTACCTTAAAAAAGCTTTCGTAGAAGTGAAATGCTGCTGTTTTAGATGCAAGCTTAATTAGATTTTGTACAAGCATACTGATTTGTTAGATATGCAGGGTTTTGAAGGCAAAGTCCAGCTTTGGAAAAATTCTTAAACCAGTTAATAAAAATAATATAATATTTCATTCTAGTCCAATTATTCATGTGCTAGACATCATTAAAGAAAGATGGGTAGAAACGTATTCTCCATTTTCGTTTAGGCGGCAAAGATAAAGRGGATTTTTGGCTGAATAGGCATCTTGGAGAAACAGTATTGTTTGTCTCTCAGCCTTACGTTGCACGGAGTCCAAATAAGATTCCGTGCCCCGATTATATTAGGTACAAAATGGAGAAAATGAACCTCCCTATTTATTATTACATCCAATATATATCCATTTGAATACGGTAACTATTATTGTTGCTGCTTTTACGTCCAATGGGGTGATATTAGCAAAGACGCTTTAATTTGGAATTTAAATAGATGTAGTTAGTAAAAAGAAGGAAAAGAAAAGACCTGAAAGTAAGAGGAGGGAGGAATGGAAAAAACTTTACTATCAATCATCCATTGTGCTCGTTAACCTCACGCGGCCTTGTAAACATGTATGTTGCTTTTTCATTTTTTCATTATTTTATTAAAGTTCAATATCTTATCAATATCTTCTAACTTTTTCTCTCAGTCTATAATGTCTCACTTTCTCATTTTTCTCCTTTATGCAACGTTTCACCTCCATTATTTTCTCTCTTTTTTGGAATTTTTTTATTTCCATATCACATAATCACAAATACCTCTCTGCTCTTCATTTGTCTTATTTTTTAAAAATTTACTGTATATTTTTATCCAAATTTACTGGATCTTTTTTTTTAATTCAAATTAATTAAAAATAGGAAATATTGATTATTTTAACTATTTCAATAGGTTGGACTTTACCATTATCTTCTATTTTTACTGATTTCAACAGGTTAATCGACTTTCAATAGTTAAAGACTAATTTAATTATCTTTGACCTCTCAATTTAGTTGAAGTATTAAAAGTGGATGATGTTATTTAATTTAAAAGATGAGGAAAAAAATAAATGAAAAGACAAATTATTTTTTAAGTTAAACTTTCAACCGGTGGTATCTACCTTTGGATTGTGAAAAAAATACTAAGTTTTGTTTGTTTGAAACAAGAATAACATAAAAAAAAATATACAATAAATTTGGAAAGAAAGATACACTAAATTTAGATAAAATGATATAGTAAATTAAAAAAAAAAGCAAAAAGACAAATGAATAAAAGAGGTACTTGTGATATAAAAAAAAAGATGTATTTGTATGTGATGTTGTGAAATAGAAATAAAAAACATAAAACAGGATTGATAAAAAATGGAGGTGAACCCTACCGAAGAGAGAAAAATGAAGAAGTGAGACGTTGATGAGATATTAAGCTTTAATAAAATAATAAAAAGAAAAATACCTGACTTCCTACGGTGAGGATAAAAAATATTGTCTTCACCACCACATCATACCATTAAATGTCTAACGAATGTTAATAGTGGGGAGCCCTCACCGTTCCATGAATTTTCTTTATAACCAACTTGGAAAGCAACATCAAACATGAGAGTTGAGAGGAGGAGGGAGGAGTAGCAGCAAAGCAAAGCCATGCATTCCTTTTTTATTTTACTGCACAAAATATCCTAATATTATTAATTAATTAATAATGGTATGAATATGATATTGAGGATTCTCAGCGAATCTTTGAGCAGTCGGTGTTGGGTTGTTTATGTAAGGTTATGCACAACAGAGTGTTTCTGGTTACAGCTCGAACTCGGACTCCGGACCGATCTGAATACTTGGGCGGACCTGCACAAAAGGGTGAGCACTCCGACGATCAAGTTAGTATAGGTCGGATTC